TTTTATTTCCAACACTCGGTACAGCCAATACTCATGCGCTCTCTTTGATGTCTGCATCCACCTGCTTTCCCTTGAATGATCATCAGATAAAGAGTTCTTTAGGCAAAGATTATCTTTATCTCACATCCTCTACAGAGCTAGGACGATGGACCCTGAATCCAGGACCGGGGTCATGCGTGGGGTAAACACAAGTATTAACTCAAACAAGGTCTGAATTCATTTTCTTCTTACACCTCTGAAATGCCCAGTGCTCCAACCTGTCCAGCTTCAGCGAACACATGAGAAACGTGCCTAAATCAGTCAAACTTTCCTCATGTCTGCCGTGACCTCCAAAATGTCCTGTAGGCACACACTTACCCAGAGGAAATCACAGATTTAAGATTGGGCAGTGCTCCTGGGCTCAGCTTGCCTCAGCTCGTGCGCCAGGCAGGCCAGCAAAGCTCCCCCAACCCGCGGCCCCGTGGTCCCAGGAGCCACAGGAACGTCTCCCGTCAGGTGCTGGGCAGCCAGAAAAGGCAGGTTAAATCGGGGAGGTGAACTGGTGAAGCTGATCTAGATGACCTCCAGAGGACCCTTCCAACCCACATTTTCCCACTGTTCTAGGATTTCACCTGGCCAGCCCTCTTGCTTTTGATGAACGAAATGTTCTAATGCAGTTAAATTCAATCTTTCCCTGAAAATTCCACCTGAGCAAGTCACAAGATGGTGACTTATGATATATTGTACTCTAAATTGCTGCGACATGCTTTTTTTTTTTTTTTTTTTTTTTTTTTTTTTCCCAGCAGAACGCTAACACCGCTGTATATGTTAGCCTGCTCCTTTTTTCAACTCTAAATCCCAGAGAGATTAGAGAGTAAAGCTGAGCGAGGGCTAACAGCAATCCCAGGAGGACTTTGGAGGAAAGCGCTTTCTTTTTCCTTTTTCATCAGCCTATCAAGATCCCCTAATTCCTGCTGTTCTGAGAACACACTTTCAGCGAGTAAGAGTGCTTCAGATCACTGGGGAGTCCAAAGCACTGATTGAAAGTCACAAGCTACCATAGTTTTTGCATTATCAAGTTGATTTTCCTTGCCTTTTTAATACGCAAAAATATCACTGGGGGGGGGTGACAGGGAAGGGGGGAAGACACGGAGGGCTTGTTTGACTTTATTAGTTATTTCGGTTTCGCTGAGACCAAGGCTGCACTGGTGCAAAATGCTGGGCAGAGGATGCAGGCTCTGTCCTGAAAAGCTCACAACTGAAACGAGACGTGCTAACACCTAGGAAGGCATTTTAAAAAGTCAAGTGGCATTCCCAAGGTCATACAGTAAAGCAGTAGCAGAGTCAGAGACCCCTGACTCCACACAGCCGAGGCAGCAGGTCCCCCCAGAGCTCCTGCACTCATTACTGCAATGAGTTGCCTTAAAGACCATCACTTCGCCAACCACAGGGCCAGCACTTTTCTCCATAGTGGCCACAAGAACGCAAGAGGAATAAGATCCACTACCTGGCCAGGTGGTAGCTGATCACCTGCATCTTGCCTCCGCGAGAGGCAGAAAGTCCTGAGTTACTCAAGGCTGCCTTGCAGATGCACAATGCGTCAGCTGCTACTGAGACTGGAATGACTCTCTTCCTTTTCTGCCCGATTTTGGAGATTTCCTAGAGAAAAACAAAATAAAAACATCCCAAAGTTACTAGAAGCAGCACAAATTCATTTGGCAGCTTATTTGTAGCTATTTAGAGAACTTGTCTTACCTGTAGTTCAATCACATGACAAAAATTGACAATTTTTTATATATATCTATATCTATATATATATATATATCTCACTTGATTTTTAAAGTCACCTAAATAATTGCCTAGGGTGATGTATCTTAAAGCCACCGAAGCCCATCGTGCCTCCGAAGCGAGCAGGCAATGTTCACATCCATCTCGGCAGTTCACTGACGACCTCAGAAGTGCTGAGCCAGCACTGGAGGGCTGCTTGGCAGCCACTCTGTGCGAGAGAGCCCAGTGAGCTCCCTGCCTCAACTGTAGTCTTATTTTCGCCGTACTAGAATATGTCTCAGCACAGTAATGACAAAGGGGTAATGTATCCCTTGACTCCAGCAACGACTGGTATAATTCTCTTCCGTAGACTAATTTACTTTAACCTGCCTATGTATTATTAAAATGCCAGCCACCAGGGCATCACAGCAAATAATGGGCATTAAGTACGAGTGAAAGGACTGCACGGGAAATGGAGGAAGGAATATTTGGTATTGCGACTCCACTTACGGCCTGAAACTGCTATGCTTTGGCGTTTCCTTATTCTGCATTTGATCTATCTGCTTAAGTCTTTCTGTTTAACACTTTTACCAATCCGGAGTTGGGTTGGCTGTATTTTTAAGGAAAGGGCTGGTTTATCCGTATTTGCCATTGGTAAATACACTCACTAAAATAACGACAATATCTTTCCAGGGACGAGCAGGACTCTCTGGTGATCAGGAAGAACATTTTTTCCTGCTCTCGCAAGGCACTGGGCAACATACATCGCGTGTCTCTAAAAATCTGTCTTTCCGCCTGTTTTCTGGGGATCGAGATTTTAATTCTCGCCCTCTAACAAGCCCCAAACCAACCAAATCTGCCGCAGTCTTCTTCATTGCTCTTAGTGTTATTATAAGGGAGAAGTTCCAATGCGTGTGCATGGGCAATAATATCAGGCAGGTAATTTCTTTTTCTTAATTTAAGGCAAGGTTCCAGCCTGAAGGGCTTACAGCCTTATCAACCCCCCTTTCCTTTATATAGGTTTAAAAAAGTGACAAGTGACATTTAAAGGAGCCCAAGTGCGAGAGCCACCTAAAAATTAATAACCTTCAATACGTACTACATTAGACCCTTAAATCTTCATGCAGCTCAAAAATATCTATAAAAGCACCAGATTTCCTATGTACAATGTGCCAAATTCCTTCAGGGATTTTTTCAAGCGGGGAGTCAAGATAAAATTGTGTTTATCAATCTTCAGAACCCTCTCAATTCATTACGGGAAAGGTGCAGCTTATTCCGAAAGATTTCTAAATCTCAAGAGCAAATTGTTGCCAGTCTTGGAAATAATTCCGAGCAGCAGACTGCTTTTACAGGCTCTTTTTTTCCTTGGTTGCAGATCCTGCCCACAGCATTATCAGGACAGTGTAATTTCCGTGCCCTACTGACATCTGCAAGACAATTATTAGCTAGAGAGACAGGCAGCTGTCAGTTTTTCCCAAAGTCTTCCCGAACCTGCTATTTGGTCGCATCAGTTGTTGCCTTTTGCACAGCACAAAGTTCAGCAGCTCTGGTCTGAAGGTCAGCCTGATTTTTTTTTTTTATTTTATTTTTTTTTTCCCCCTTCTTGTCTGGATACTGCACAACCCAGAGCTCTCACAGCAGGGCCACAGCCTTCCCCGGGAGCTCTGCGGCACTCGGCACGCACGCGCTGTGCAACGACCATAAAGATGCCACCGTGAGCAAACATTCCGTAATGACTCCTCTTCAGTAACGCCCTATTTGCTGCTTGCTGGGAGAGGAATCATTAGGGATGCTGCAGAAAGTTTGTATTTCTTGGGTCTTACCTGGGCACTTGGTGAGTTGCTCCATCCTCCCTTTCGGAGCAGTCGCTTCCCTCACAAGAACTGTACGAAGAGGAGGAGAAAGACCTTCCCTAAGAAGAGTTTGGACATATTTTTAAGCTGAAATTGTAACATAATCACATGATTCCATGAATTGATACTTAAAAAAAAAAAAACCAACCCCAAACCAAACCCAAACCAAAAACTCGTAACAGAAGACTGGAGATGAACATATTACAGTCTCGGGTTTTTACATTTCAGTTGAAGAAGTTTGCTCCCAAACATCTTTGGCTTTAATTGCAGCCGTGGTAGTTCAAGTTAGAATTTCTGGTACGTCTGGGCTTGTATAGAGCCCTTTTAGTTCGATCACCACAGCCAACATCAGCTCAGGACATGCCGCAATGACTTCTGCTTTGATCTAAAGCAATCCATGACATAAATATTTAGCTCTTCATGACCTTTAGTACTTAAGTAAGGTCTTCACGCCTTCAAAACATTCTTGGAACGTTACCTCCATAATTGTCAAGAATACAAGGGAAAGTTACAGGGTTCTTGCCCAAACTGGCATCAGTGTATAAACACCAGAAACCCAGTGACATTTCAGGAAGAAAAGCATGAATTAATCCAGGGGACCGCACACAGCAGTATATTTTGTTCTCCTTGGGCAGCACAATTCCCAATAACCCCAAAGAAAATCTATAATCTGAGCCTAATGCCAGTTCCAAACATCCTCCAAACCAATGTTAAAATTAAGTTATTTTGAAATCAGGAAATTGAAAAAAAAAAAAAAAAGGGGGTTTGTTTAATTTTACCTTCCGTTTCAGTAGTTGCAGGGTTGCTTTTCCCAGAGTGTGTGGGGGGGAAGTTGCATTGTTGAGGATTATAAATGGAATTAAAAAAGAAACAGCTACTCTCCAGTATTTACATGACCCCAGCAGCTGGGGGTTTAAGGAAAAAACACATGAAAAGACGGTAAGTATTCTTGCTTGACATTTCCTTCTCTGGTTTTGCTTAGTATCAGGTCGGCAGATACATAACCGCCCTCTTAAAAACTGAACCAGAATTATACAACGGTCTTTAATGAACCTTATAATAAAACCATTACCACTCTCATCCTTTAGGAGCATGGGAATGCCATTACACTTTTGATGCTCACTGAAATGTATTCTGCTGCTGATCCGGAGCCCACAGGAATCAATGGGAGTTCTTCCATTTGCAGCTCAATAGGCTGTGGGTCAATGTTTTAAACTCTATTTGAAGGAAACCAGTGTTTCGAGCAGCTTTCTCCCTCCATCCGTAGCACTCCTAAAGCTGACAGATATCAAGATGTCTAATCGAGCTGTCTGTAAACTCATCACCTAGCCTTTCACTCCATTTTCTTTTCATTTCCTGCCTAACACTTAATTCCAAATACGTTACCTTCGACGCGTCGAGTTGACTTTGGAGGCCCGTGTTTCCCTGCAAGCTGCCTAGCACACAGAATGTGTACCTCCGTACATATTCCTCCTTCCCTTTCAGAGAAAAATATGCAAGTATTTCAGGCGAGAAACACAGAAGACGATATAACACCGTGTATGTGATACAAGACTCGGCCCTTCCAAAAATTCATTAAGCCCTTACCTTGTGGCCAAGTGTATTTCTCATAAACACACCCAATATAAACACTTGAAACAATCACAAAATTCATTATGTCCTAAACCCCGCTGTTGTATAATTTACCCTCCAGGTAAAAACTTAAACCGTATGTCCTAATGGGAATTGGTTTAGCTTCAGCTCAGGGTTTGACTGAAAAGTCTGCTTTCTGATAGGAAAAACAACAAAAAACCCCAACACCTTTAATAAAAAAAGGGGCTTTTTTCTTTTTTTTTATTTCTTCTCCCTTTTCCCCTCCCCCAGGCCCATACAGGTATTCTGATAAAATCACCTCTTAACCTCTTCGTAGACAAGCCACATTGAGCTTCTTCACGCTCAGGCTTTTTTAAACCTCAGAACAATTCCTTGAGCTCCATCTAAGAGGCGAGAGAGAGAGGTGAAACAGGACAAAGCGTTGTTCCCTCCTCCATCCACGGCATCACCGTGTCACACATCCAGAGAAAACATTCAAACAGTAGCTTGGCTGTGGTGTCCCAACCACAAAATAGTATGTTTATTTTTTTCCACCACTTTTTTTTTTTGTTTGTTTGTTGTTGTTGTTGTCATTTTATTGATAAAAACTACACAAAAACTAACTGATCATAATAATTAATTAAAAAAACAAAAAAACAATGTTACACATTCGCCTGTGTTTTAGAAATTGTGTCAGCCAGTGAGTTTTCACCAAATACTCTTGCTTTAAAAGATTTTCCTTCTGATCCATTTCAAGCACATCACTTCCATTTTGGTTCCCAAACAAACGTCCGTTAATTTTGCTTAACAAGCACCGCTGGACTGTAAATATCAGAGTCGTTACTCCGTTGCATGTTTTCCCCTTTTTTTAGAGCCCGAAAAGTAATTATAGTGTCAACAATGAAGCACAATGAAGATAGTAAAAATCAAAAGCACCCTCCATAGTGTACAGCCTGTGTCTTAAATGTACATGCACCCAAGTTTCTTTGTTTCTGCTGCATCAATTACCAATGTCCTTTTGGTTCAACATAAGCTTTTAATGCCCATGTCTGAAGTTTGAAATATTAGCGCTTGACCACTAAAAAAAAACCAAACAAAAACCCAAACCAAAAACCCAACCGGAAAACAAACCCCCAAAAAAAAAAAAAAAAAAAAAAGAAAATATATATCTATATTTTGTTTGTTTAAAAAGAACAAAAATATTAAACAAATCTTTGAAGAGTAATAAACACTTAATAAGGAAACATGGCTGACCCACCCCACCCAAACCCTTGCCCTCCCCACCCCCTTTATTTTTACCTGTGGTTCTCCTTCCCTGGAACCGTGCAATGTAGAAAAATCAAATATACAAACAAAACTCTTAATCCATCCCTTTATGTAGCTAGAGTGAAATCTATTTTTTTTTTTTTAATAAGAACTTGACAATCTCTCTTTAATATTTACATTGAGGAATTTGTTTGAAAGTTTAAAGCAAAGAAAATCCTGAAGTTCTCAGTGTGTACTGCAAGAGAGCACTTCCACAGTCTGCGGAGTTTGCTTTATCCCCTTCCCTTTGTCTGTGTTGGAACATTTGTAACTGGAATGGTAGATCTGAGTTCCTTGCCCTGGTCTCTTCTGAGATGAAAGGTCCCTCAGAAGACCTCCCCACTCCGCCCCCTGACGCAGTCGTCTCCGCGTTAGTTTGGTATTCTCTCAATGTAAATGGCTGGAGCAGCCGAACGCGCGATTGTAGCTATGAAGCTGTGGTCTCGACTGAGTTCCAGGTTGGTTGTCTCAGCCTGCTCCCGGGACATGGTGTCGTACCCCTTATTTACATGGAGAGGCTTATGAGCTTGGCAGTATCCAATCACTGGCTGGTCGTAACTGTAATAGGGTAAAGTCTTCATGTGGTGAGGGACCTGCGCCAGAGAAACAGAGATCAAAAGAGAGAGAGAGAGATGTCAGTGATGTGTTTAGTCAGGTGTTTGTACAGCATCTACCGCAACGCGGCCTCGGACCCCACAGTGCTCGGCGCACCCGCGCTCATCACACGGTTCACAGAATCTCAGAATCCTCTGGGTTGGAAAAGCCCCTGCAGCTCCTCCAGCCCAACCATGACCCTCCCCCTGACCATTCCCAACTCCCCCAGACCCCTCAGCGCTGGCTCAGCCCGACTCTTCAACCCCTCCAGGGATCCCGGGGACTCCCCCCTGCCCTGGGCAGCCCATTCCAACGCCCAACAGCCCCTTCTGCACAGAAATCCTTCCTCAGAGCCAGCCTGACCCTGCCCTGGGCAGCTTGAGGCCATTCCCTCGGGGCCTGGCGCTGGGGCCTTGGCTCCAGAGACTCATCCCCCCTCTCTGCCCCCTCCTGGCAGGGAGTTGCCGAGGGCCAGGAGGTCTCCCCTCAGCCTCCTCTTCTCCAGACTGAACCCCCCCAGTTCCCCCAGCCGCTCCCCAGCAGACCTGTGCTCCAGACCCTGCCCCAGCTCCGTCGCCCTTCTCTGGCCACGCTCGAGTCACTCAATGGCTTTTTTGGGGTGAGAGGCAAAATCCATCCTTGCGGCAGGATAAACCTTTGAGGCTTCCAGGCCGCCCCCAGCACGCGTGCATCCCTCTGGAACAGGGCTGCTTACATGCGTGCCAGCAGCGTGTCCCCACCCGCGGACGGACGTTACATCTGCTGACAGCCTGTGCCATCCCGGGCTGGTCCTGCCCTCCACAGTGAGCCGACGCCAGATCAGAGGGGGCTACTCTCCATTTCTGTGTTTGCGGGCAGATATCCAAAGTGCTCTCGCATGCTGGGTTCTGACCTCTTTTGGACGCTCCAGCTATGAAGGGCGAACTGAGAGCTGCTGGTAATAGCAACCTTTTAAAAACCGGCCCTTCTTCTGCTTCAAAAGGGGCTGAGCATTTCTACAAAACTCAGGCCAGCCCAAACGTGTCAAAGGCCCAGAAAACCTGGCTGCCAGCCTGTCTAGCTTTCAGCACAGCTGGAACACATCTTTACTTCTTCTACCACAAAGCTGCTTGCCCAAGGTCCTGATTTCCTGGGTTCTTTATCTCACAACCTCCCCAAGAGAAACCCTATCAAAGCAGCTCAACTGACGCTCGCTGGAGCTGAGCAGATCCCGACCTTGTAAGAATGGCCACGTACTTGAAAAGTCTGCAAAATCCATCCTCAATCGCATCTCTCTTCTATATGTAAATAGTTAGAAACTGCCAGCACCCCCCCCCTTTTTTTTTTTTTCTTTTTTTCCCCATAAAATGTTCTGTGCTTGCAAATGTTAATCCTACAACTAAATATGATTTATAGCACAACATCAGATACAAATCTTCGCAGATAATTTTATCATCTGCAAGAGATGAGCTGATCAAGTAGAAAGAAATATGCTCTTAGGGGGAAAAAAACCCCCACATACTGCAGGAGATACAGGCAAGAGTTTATTCTAACACTGGTAGAAAACCTGGGCTCATTATAGCTGGAGACATCCTACACATCATTTAATCTTGGAACAAACGCCTTTTTATTTTCCATGCCGAACTTTAAGCGAAGACTACATAGCTAATTTATCACAAACTTCCATTGTATGGCACACTTCATTCAAAAAGGTATGAAAAAAAGCAAAGGCATTAAGACTAATTATAAGTTTTGCAGGGTTAGAGTTCCTCTTGCATTTGGATCTCAGCAGTTAGATTCCTCCCCCTGCTTCTCTGCAGAATGCTGGAGAGAATCCAAAACTCTTCCACTAGCTGGAATTCAGCTGAAAACGTCATTTTACGTGACAGCTGAATGGCAGGAACGCAGAAGACAAGCTGCTCGGTAGAATTTGATGGGACAACTGTGTTCACTTGTGGATCAAATTCAGCCACAGTGCAAGAAACTGCAAGTCCCTTTGGATACAGTAATATCTGTGCCAATTCGTATCAGGGCTTGAATTTGTCCTCAGCCTTTAAGGCAGCTCTTTATGATTCTATAAAAGCCAAGGACTGTTTGTGTTCTGGAGAGTTGAGAGATTGAGGTCCTGGCTTTACAGCAATAATACACAGTACATTAACCGCCCGAGTCCTGTGTGCAGCTCTGTTTGCTTGTTTTCTCCCCTTCTCCAAACAGGAGTCAAAAGGATCAGGATCTCAGCAACATCCCTAAACGGTGCATAAACACGCTTCCTCTTCCGCTGTTTCTCAGTAGTTTTGTAGAATCTTTTTGCTTGTTTTCACTTAAAACTTTCGGTGTGTCTGAAATCGTATTAGTAAGGGTCGCCACGCCACGTGTGTGGAGGGAAGGTGGATATTCTCTATTGGTGTAAAAAAATAAAACAGGTTTATCAGGCAACCCATGAGATTAAGGAACTGTAGATTAGTTTGTAGAAAGCATTTCTAGGATAATGAAACCCAGTAATGGATCTGCACCTCCCTGTTCTTGGGCCTGGCCCTCGTACTACTCTTCCTCTCCCTCTTTTGGGTGTTAAACTAAGGGAAATTAAAAAAAACAATCATGTCAAATGACTGAAAGAAGCCTCATCCTTGAGGTACCTCCAATAAAGACTGAATGAAGAAATGTCGACAACCCCTGCCCCCAAGTTGCTTCTTGTGATGCCTCAAGAATGGAGGTACCAACCGTACGAACAAAAAAGAACCTTCTGGATCAACGTGAAGGCCTCCAGGCTCTGGAGACCGTCCCCACAAAAGGGAGTGTCCCTTCCTTCCCTGAAAGTACTTCTCTGAAACGTAAAGTTGCGTTTTCAGAAAGTCAGGAGGGATCAGTTTGCATTTACAGTGAAGCGACCAAACATGAAACCCGAGCCCACAAAAGCTTTTTCAGGACACGGCCTTGACTGTAGAGACTATCCCAAACGTGGGCACAATTGTACTGCTGCTCAGTTTGATGCAAGTGAAAAGGATGGGAAATACTGATGACATCGTTCACTCTAAACAAAGCTGATATTATTTTATTTTTTCCTGGATCAGAGATCATCGAAACATTTAAGAACACCTAAGTTGCTGAAAATTAATTTCAGAAGTACTTTTGCTCCAGGTTCTGAAGTAACTTCTTTTTTTTTGTTTCACTATGGCTATGGAACTAATGCCCGTGATACTGAGAGCTGTGACCTTGGACAAGTCACTTTATGAGCTGGAAAATGAGAAAATTAAGTCCTGCCCCTGCTTGCCCTTGGAGACCAGAGCTCTTTGAAGCAAGGGCTGTTTGTGCAGGGACTAAAACAACACAACTCTAACCTAAGCTGGGGCCTTTCAGCTACTGTGGCCTCCAAGAGACAAAAAAAGCTGATGACTAGAGTGAAAAAAAATCCAAACGCTAAATACCTCAGCAAATAAGTTCAGCCTCTGGGATTCTCTCATCTCTATCTCAAGGTCTTTTCCACAGAAGTCACATTTTTCACTAGCTAGAAAGTGGGAGTAAGGCTGAGAATTTACCTGCCAGCAAATCAAAGGCAGAGCCAAGAACAGAGCTGGGATCCCCTACACGGAGTCCTTCGCCGTCTCCTCCATTCCACTCTGCCGCCACTAGCTGCAGCCACTCGTGCTACAAAACTCCTTAAATTTAGTCTTGGAAGAAGTTATATTGTAAATGAAGATGAAGCATTGCTCACATGGGAACACAACAGATACAAAACTCTCTCTTTCATATCATCTGTCGTAACATCTGATTCAGCTCTTGGCTTCGGGTGCTCGCTCCCGGTTACGCCCCGTGACAGCACGGTCTGGTGCGGCCAGGGGAGCTCAGGACGTTTAACAGCAGATGATGCACGGGTCTGTCCACAGCATTTTCTGAATAATTCCCGTTTCAATTCCTAAAATCGTCACTGCTTAATACTCACCTGAAGGATTAAAACTTTTGGCAGTAGGAAAAACATAAATCAACAAGAAAAGGAACTCGAGAGCCACTGGTGTGCATGCGACGGACGTTTTGGTTTTAGGCCATGTGTGGCACCAAGTAGGATTGTCTTCTGCTCTGACGCCTTACAGCAAGTGACCACACTTCTCTCCAGCGTTGCAGATAGTTAATTAAGTCAGCGAACGAATCTGTGCTTTGAAGAAAGCCCTGACTTGTTTGTGCGATGAGCTTACTGCCCTACAAGCTCTCTAAGTGTTCAGCGCGTGCTCTGGGCTAATGGCCTGGATTAGTTAGCTGGTGTTGACTTCTGAAGTCCGCACCTCTGCAGATCTTCACTCTAAGTATAAGAAACATCGCATTTTAGCAGCCACACACTTCAAACAAAGGTTCTATTACAAGCAAAATTTACATAAATCCCAGCTGCAGGAGGAAGACAAAAGATTTAGCGGTGGAAATTTAAGAATGCAAATCTCCTCTTTCCTCAGTCGAATTGACACTGGAGAGGTTAACAGCTCAACAGCCTTGCTGCAGCACAACAACGCCCCTCAAAACAAGCTGGACTAACTTGAGTTTACCTGAACTCAAGTGAAATTGTGGCCTGCATTAATGTTTCTCGACATTCCCCGTCCACTTTTCCTTTGACGTTCGACAGCGGCGTTCAGCGAAACCCTTAGTCATTCCATCATGCAGGCACGCGTATCCACATTCCAATGCAGATGTTCTGTCTTTTTGATTTAATACCGCTCTGAATTTTATCGGCAGCGTTGCTCACTTATGTCAGAAATACTGGGAGGTAAATTAGCTAACATTCTATAACCTTCTGATTATTATTACACAAGAAAGTTCCATTTAAAAATTTCAGTGATAAAGAGTTCAGCTTGAACTTCTGCTTCTCACATGGGCAAAGCTAGATTTTTACCAAACCATCAATAAAAATCCTTGTTCTAGAGCTTGGAAAGTATATCAGTGAAGATGTAACCTTACAATACAGCAACCAAATCTACTGAGCCTTAAAGAATAGTGAATTGAGCCCTAAGTGAACACCAAGTGACCTTATTTCTAA